GCATTAAGACATTGAAATATTCAGCTTTTGACATTCTACATAATTTGACACACGATATTTATAAATTTTCCACATTGCCATTTATTATGCATGAGACCTGCTGTATTTTAATAACTATAGCTGGTAATCGCGTTCTCTTAAGTTCCACAGTCACGAGCGTTCTCGTTTCGAAACAGGATGATCGAAGTAGGTTCTGGGCTGGGTCGACGAAAGCGGAGCCGAAATGAAAATTCGTGAAACAAACGTGATTGCACCTCGGCTTGGTGACTTTCCAACGAAACTTGTAATTCGGTATTACAGGCCGATCTTCTAACCGAAGCGAATAACGTGTCATTACGTTTACCGAAACGACAGACAGTATATTTATTAATCCGACAAATAAACTGTAATTATTCTCTATCATGAGCTACCGTTTAATTGAATGTTGTCAAAGGTAGAGAAACAACCCGACGAAAGGTGTTAGATTATTACTTGTTACACTTTTGCATAAAATATGTACAATCTAAGAATTAGAGGTAATGATATCATTAATCAGAAGATAAAGTTTCAAATAGTTTACATTTTAAAAGAAGAATAACTAGTTCTGTCTAAAGTTTCGTAATCGTTGTCCTTATTCAGACGGCAAACTTCAGTGTTCTTAAGGTTGGACACCAAAAACGGTGTCGCCGGGAGCAATTCGATTATTCATCGGAATCTAGGTCTGGAACGAAGAATACGGAGTATCCAGGCCACGGTGCATGAATCAACGGAGTGCCGCTCGTTAGAGATCTCCGATCGTAAATTAATCAAATGATCGGAAATGAGTTCTATATCGTCGATGGTTAGTAGTAATTACCGCGTCTCGTGACTCAAGATTTGCATGCGACAAACGTGCTTCCTACAGTTCCTACTCGACTTTATATGCGCATCGCGTATCCCGATTATGTATGTCCGACGAGTGTGTCTCGTTACAAGGTGTTAACAGACTCTGTCCTCTTTGATTGACTGCAATACAGTCTCGTTATTTAAATAAATCTAATTAAGATAACGTAAACAGATATAGTGGGAACCGATGCTCTTGGAGTGCGAGTACTCCATATAAAGAAGGTACGAGAAAATGCAGTTAAATAAATCAGGTTGCCGGATCAAGAAGACTTTCACGTGATCACGGCGGTCAGGCTACCGTTTCCTATCATTCTCAATTGTCTGACAACAGACACGCCTATACCTTTACGAGCAGAGTCACTCTTTTATCTCTTATTAAATAAGACATTGTTGGAAATACGTCAGCGATACAAAAGATAATGTTCTGAGACAATCCTTGAAGGATTTCCTTATACACTTAAAAGATATACGCTGTCTTAAATTCTGTTCACATCATAATTTCTACTCACTGCCTTTTTTCTATAATTTACAATCTTAAGTCAGTAGATAGAAATTGTAACATGAACAAAAATCGAGACATGCATCTTCGAATTCATTCTACTTTATTAGTTTTATTAGCTTCTCTTGTTACATAAATTCTTAATAGAATTGAATAGAGATATATTCTTCGATCGTGAAGCTGATCGAATCTTAAGACAGAAATGAGTTTCACAAATAAGGGTAGTTCTCCATTTTTTTTTTTTTTTTTAATTAAAGAGAGAAGGGAGCTCACCGCGAAGAACGTCAGCTGGTATGAGTCTTCGAAATGTTTTTGGACGTTCTTCCTCCTTCTTCTCCTCGGCGGCGAACACGACCGCTGCGACGAGCAACAAGATCAGGGCGAGCTTCATGACGACTTTGCGCGTGTGTGACAGAGAGAGAGGAAGGAGAGAACAGGCCGTGCGTTACCTCTGAAGAGGATTGTTGAGAAAAAAATGGTCCTTATGTACCGATTAAGACTGGTTGGGTCCGTTTCTCGTCCCGGCGTTTTATAGCTGCACTCGGGGCGGGGTCCTCTAGTCCCCACCAAAACGTTTATGGTCTCTCACCTTTTCAACCACCAGTCACCAAAGAATCGTCCCCCTATGCTCTCGCATCAGCTTCTCGTTCCCTCCGAGCTCCGATGCATATAAGTACACTTACGATCGGTACAATAATGTAAGAGACACTCACGCACGCTATGTAGGCCCGTAAACCGAATCAAATTCACTACCGATGCGTTCCATTCGCAACAGATACAAACACAAACTGGGTTACCAGTTTATTCTACGTCGTTCTCTTTTTTTTTTTCATTTTTGTACCACGGTTTTGTAATACATATGTCATTGCCTTTCGATCGACGTGATCGATGATGAAAGCAGCCTTGACTTAATTAATCTTTCACCGAGAAAGTGATCGCTGTTATTATTGGGAGAAAGAGGTCTTATGGGAATGGTACATCGTCAGATGTTGGATTTGTGATCAACGATATTGAATACGAATCGGTAAGACGACGCGGATACCGAGCCATCCTGTTCTTTCGTTCTTAATGCACTTTCGTCGATGCGTTCGTGCTCTCCTGAATGTTCCATAAAATCGTTGCTTGCCACATGCCTCCTGTCTTGCAAAGTAAAAGCGTAAGATCATAAACAGTAATTGCCAGGGTATTAGAATGCACGCGTGTTTCGTATTATTTAACGGGAGATCTCTGATGGCTAGTGCTCGTTAACTTTCGCTGTTTTAAACGTCTTACAGCCGGTGCCAATTAACGGAACACTGTCGCGCGAGAAAACGTTAATAACAGACGGTACGAAGAGTCTTCCGGACGATTCGAGGCAACGAGTAGGAAACGATATTTAATAATGCTTGCGTAATGCAAAAGTTGTGATCTAACTTAGAAAAATTGGACAACGTGTGTAAACTCGGTCATCGTCGAGTGAACACGTTGATGCTCGGTTCACGTTTTAATTAAGGAGATGAAATCGCAAAGATCGAGGTAAGATCGCTCGAGGAAAGTAAAGAAGAAAGGGAAAGTTGCCCATTGCCATCGTTCTTCCGAAGAGACTGTAACCTTCTGAATCACCGGTCTCGGAGCAAGTTCGTGGTATTTCAAACGTTAGATCCTGTCTCGCGAACGTGTCGTGCCTAGATCTCGCATCTAAGTAAGTCGACGTACGATATTCGTCTCCTCTTCCTGGAACTAACGATTTATGTGGATTTTCACCTCACCGATCCAACTTCTTCCGGTATAATTTTTGACACGTTCACAATTGAATTCAATTTACGTCTTTTGAAATCCGTCTCGCGGTCTTGCCTAATTTTAATCGAATATCTCGGTCATGAATTTACATGAATTTCATGACCGACGGTATATTGAATTGTGAATCCGGAATGTCAGGTTCAACTCGCTGCGACCGGTTATTCACGAGATTTAGTAATGTCGAGGGAAGACGTATAAAAAAAGGTTCAGAAAAGGCTCGAGTGGAATATTAAAGGAGATCATTGTCGATCGGGATTTATTAAGTAGACACCGATCACGCCCGTCGTCTTGCTTCCGCGAGATTGAATCACGTGGTAAACAACACGACCTGCTTTGCGACTCTGAACAGTTTCGAAACGCTAATTTGAATATTGCAGAAATCGTGTAGGGACGTTAAGGATAAAGTGAATATGAAATAATATTGTTTTAAATGACCGATCCTTACTATGAAAAATGATTGCGAAATAATAACGGTGACCCAAATTACGTTGCGAACAAAATGAACACGCTTTCGTGCCGGATACGCGGATGATGTAATTTTTTTTAAGAATACCCTAACCGGATATTGTTGCATTGTGGAATATGGGCATCGATCTAGTTCCCTCGTTACAACGAATATTCTCAATAGACAAAAAGGAGTCCTCGCTCCAGATTTATCGTCTGTTGTTTTGTAATTGAATTCTGATGATAATATTCTATAGGTGTATACTTGAATACGAAAATTAATTTGTCTTTAATTACTTGGAATCGTTCTGTCGAGGATGAGTGGCAATTTGCACGATTGTCGGGTCTTGTTACAAAAGACTGTGATCTTATCGTTAGAAAACTGGGACAACCGCTGTAGATTGTCTGTCCTTCTAAAATTTCTTCCGCTCGGAATTCTACCTATGCCTCATACATGTTCTCGTCGTGGAAAGGTGAAAGCAGATTGGAATAAGCGTCGAAAGGCCGCCACGATATTTGTTTTCTTTCAAACCGTAGACGCAAATAATGAGATTCGTTTAATGATTCATCGATTTTCATATTCAAGTTGATTAAGGTTTGAACAGCTATGTACGATCTACGAAGCATCGACTAGTATCCTTTTGACTATCTAAATGTATGTATTACAATCAGTTTGAATTTCTGAGGTTGAAACAATTGCCAGGGTCAAGTGCAACCAAGCAATAAGTCTTGTCAACGAATTCTAGACACGAATTTCATTAGTATCATTAGCCAGTATTAGCAACGGTAAATGCGGCAGTACTGACGATTAAACGTGATCATGCTAATTCGCCGAAATCGGTGGAACCGTCCGCGTTCTTCGGATGAAAGAAAAGGGCCGGTGACGACTTCGTCGTGTCAACAACGCGGAACGCGTCAGGAAGGGACGGTGTCGCAAGTCGAAATCGTGAAGCCGTCCCCGCTGCGGCAGCCGTCCAGTTAAAATCGCGCCCATCCTCTTCCGGCTCACCTTCTCCTCGGCATTATTTTCACTGCAGCTGTTCGACGCGTTTCCTAGACAATGATGAATATACCGTTGCAATTCGTTGCGCATTTGCCGTCACCGCCCGTCGTGAATCATTAACACGCTGTTCGAAGCGAACAGGAGTGAACGCGTTAATTGCGAATCGTATACTTTTTGTTAAGGCGTACCTACCTGGATCGTGAAATGAATAACAGTCCTGTCGTTCTTTTTTCATACAATTCATTATTATATTCTTCAACTCGTTACGTCGTGAATCGAAAGCGTAGCGAAGAATCAAAATTTCCAATGTAACTGTGAGTCATCAAACGGTTTCCTTCCAGGAAGGTAATTATCTTGGAAGTTCGACACGCTCCAACCTTCGATTCGAACGCAAAGAAAACTGCATGCAAATGATCATTTTCTACATGGAACACAACTAACGACTAGACGTTCCCACGAGTGTTTTTCCGTGCTTCAATGTCGTGAACCGTTCTATTTTTTCCTTCCGTCACGACCGTATCAATTAAATTATGTAATACGAAGATACAGATTATTCTTTTCACTCGGATTCGAGAGTTTAATGAACCATCGTGATCGCTCGTTAGAACCAAAACGGTGTTGAAAGAATGTTGTTCTCGGTGGACAATAATTAAGGAAGAGGACCGGTAATTCGCAAATGAACTGACACGCGATCATGTAACGCGCCCTTGGCATGATTCAAATTGTTATTACACTCATTGTTAGACGACGAGAAACTTCTCGAGTCATTCTTGATACGAAAATTAATACATGTTCGACTGAAATGCGCGAGACCTGATTTTCAATTTAATCAAATTCAATAGAGGCTTATATATGTTAATTGGGACCGAGGGTACTTTAGTCCAAGAAAAATAAGTCTGAGATCAACACTTCTAGCTTTGAACCGCTCTAATAGGGTTAAATTTCATCAAAGGGGAGAATGTAATAAGTCATCCTTATGTACAATTTCATACTCTACAACTTTTATTGGAAACTTTTTTCGATATCTATAACCGTTTTCGACTTATGCGCAAAAAACATCCCCGAGGGGTGGTTTTCTGAACGATCCCCCGGTGCAAAAACTTTTTAGCTTTGCACGTTTGTTCCTAAGGTTTAGACATAGCATACGTAAAAAATTCGGCCACTCGGTTAAAAGTGTCGATTTCAGATCTATTTTTCCTGGACTACTTGCTTCTGTCGATGGAATAACATCGTGTTTCTAGTGAAAGTAACTTTTACTAAACGGATGTTGTAAATTTCTTTACGTTATGACTCTCATCAAATGCGTTTATTCAATCGAATATATACATATATTTATACACTCTGTTTACATACATGTCGCGTTAGATTCTAGAGCGAAAATATTATCCTAGCTTTCCTTAAATTAAAAATTCTGTAGACACGTGCGGCTACGGCTTTTACTCTTAACTGTTTCACTAATGAAAATAATTATTAAGCTATTAACAGCGAAAACTGTTAAATAAATGGAAAGCGAAGCAGATTACACACTAATTATTTTACTGCGTCACATAAACCATCGCTTGTGCACATACACGAAAATTAATTGCAAATCACATGGCAAGCTAGGCAGGTAGAAGCCTCTCCCCTAATTTACACCTCATGGTTCGTTTTTGTGCATAACGAAATTTATAAATTATTAAACTATATGCGAGCTGATAATGTAAAAGAAAATTATTGAATATACTGAAACGTAAATGAAATATTTATCAACTAAAACTATTTCTATTTATCATATATACGTTAATTACAGTTGCAATTAAAATCTTTAATCCTATCAATACGCGACGTTTGATTCGTTATCCGTACGTATGTACAACAATTAAAACTTATCTTTCAACGCGATACATAATCGAACTGATATACTTATATTTTTCGAGAATTATAATAACTAGAATAGAATACAGCAACAGTCGTGTGTTAATTAGAAATTTTGTGATAAGAAATCTCAAACACTACTATCTAAAATTATTTCTCCCAAATGCTAGACACTATTTCAGTCTAAGATTATCTATCAGAAGATCCGAAATATTCTCGTATAAAAGTGTTCGCGGCTTTGATGAGAAACCATAATTTCTGTAATGTGTATGTACTAGTAAATATATGTTGTGTCGTTGTGCAATAAAAATAGGTAGACATTGTTTATACACAGTTTATATACATAGACTTGTTGAAAATAGTGTTATTGCGGACTATTTTATTCGTACGTCGCTAGAAAACTGAACACTATATTTATACATTAGTTCGTTATACAAATTGTCTACTTATTTATATTTGCTACCGTTTAATCTGTAGAGACAGAAGAAATTCTTATGTCTCTATGATTTAACCACTTGCCTCCGATACTTATGATTCATGTAGAACGATCACACAGAAGAAGACATGACGCACATTAAAAAGGAGAAACCTGAATAATTAGTAACCACCGATAAATCTTTCTTAGTGTAACTATGATTGTTCAATGACTAGTATACAAATCTATTAAACAATTATTTTTGTAACTTAGACAGGTACGTTTTAATTTAACTGAAAAAATATATATATGTATTTATATATGAGTTACCTGATGTTAGTTACCTATAGTTCTTCCAAACGTTTATGGAAAAGGGAAAGTCTTCTTTCCATATTTACAGTGCTACTCTGTACGAATAAAATTAGGCAATATAAAATTTCTATCTTTAAATATTTTGTTGATAATACATCTTAAAGAACGGATCACCTAATTTAATTCAAAAGAACACTACGAGAGATAAAAGACTAGGAAACGACGTGTAGTGTTTAGATTTTGAGTGGAAACGAGCGTATAATTTATACCGATCATATTATTGTAATGAAATAAGCAAATAATTTATTTGCGCCACTAATGTACAAATTGTATTTTAATGCAACATAGTACACTATTAATTCACAGCCTATTTTGTCATTCTGGAAGTATTATTATACACGTTTTCTCTTATGATCATGCATCATTTCTTCTCCTATTTCGTGTGATTCGTTTACCTTAAAGGAACGGTGAATATGAATTTTACTCGTTCGCCGCGAATCGTTCTTGCCAAATATGATTTCTGTGCTGGGAAGTTAATATCGGATTAAGAACACGTTCTATACAATTTATGCGGCCTCGGAAACGCTCTCTGTCTCTAGCCATCTCCTCCCATGGACCCTTACGAGCCGCACGATAAGCATAATCCCACTGTACCATTACGTGAACCACAGGATTCAAGTCAAACTTCACCTAGAATAATAAATCTCATTTCTTACTACCACGAAATCGTGATAAGCAGGTTTGATCGTTAAATTGTTCCTTACTTTTGCAACCGGAGATACGCATCCTCGGTCTTTACAAGTTTCCTCATCATCGCTCGACTCTGTATCGCTCTCCACGCTGTCCTCAAGATCACTGTCGTAAGTTACTTCAGAGCCAGTCTCGAATACTATGCAATAACTGTCTTCTGAATCGATAGAACTCTCCGACATCAGACGCGATCGAAACGCATTCTTACATAAATTATTTTTGTTCTCGATGAAATCGAAGTCGCAGTAATTCGTTCGTTCGGTGCATTCGGGTATACTTTCCATATTTCCGGAATACTTTGTTGCCTGCTCGCAGTTTTTACGCGTCTTCGACTTCTGAATTTTCGGTTTCACATCGTCTAATGAGAAAATGTATGCTACAGAGCTGACAGACTCTTCTACAACATATTGCAAAGTATCCGCCGCGTTCTCGTTGAAATTAAAGCAATCCTCCGATTCTGTGGTTTCCATTGTGTCGTAAATATCGAAGTCTTGCCAGCATCTCAGTTCCGTTTCTATGTCAGCGGCTATGTCGTGTTTGGTACGTTCCTTTCTGTGCCTCGTTTGACTAACTCCGGAACGTCTAAGTTGCGACTTCCCTCGCCCTCGACCTCTGCCCTTTGCCACGGCGTTCAGTCTTCTTCGCTGCTTCGGCGAGCCGTTTGATCGTTTCGATATTGTGTCCGATTCCATAGAATCTGTCCTGCAAGTTCGATCACCGCCGAAAACTTTTTGTATCATATTTGTGATCATATTTGAGACTGAAGCTTGTTCAATTGTCTGCATATTTGAATCGGATGTCGAAACGGTTTGCAAAGTTTTATTATCTGCACTGCTATTAGGAAATAGTTCGTTACAAGTGCTTTTACTATTACAATATTCCTCAGTAGATTCTATGCTTGGATTCTCCTCTACTCTTAGCTCAGGACAGACGAGTTCAAAAGATTCTTCTTCATATGTTTTAAGCACATTTTCATTTGGTAATAAATAAATATGGTCGGACTTAATAATATTTTTCTCTATAGATTCCATTTTATCATCAGATCCTTCTGCAGCTTCATAGTTATTAATATACTCAGAGCTAAGATTTAAGCCACTTTTCATACCCTTATTAAGATTTCTACTTAAGCAAGGTTGTTTCTCATTAAACATATTGTTATGAATGCTCTCGACGATGTTTAATGATTCTTTAATGTGAATGAACATATTCTCATTGCCCAATGGCTCTAATTTAGTTGTCAAATTTGTTAAAATGTCTTGTGGAATGTGACCGTCATTGTTTACGATCGTTACGGACAATGGATGATTAATCCTAGCTATGAATGAAGGAACTTTCGTGAACTGTTCCCAAACTACGTTCAAAGCATTGAAAACGCCGTGAAACATGCTTTCTTTCTTTGGGCCCGGCATGGTTCCCTTTCTACTCAATGTCCCATCCAAGGAACACATTTTCTCCATTGTTGTTTCTCCGAATAAACTCTGGGTGGGACGCATGACTAACAAGGAAGTGAATATACTGAAAAATAATAAGTATTAAGTTAGAAAACATATATAAATTTAACAGATCATCAAAATTGCATTTAATTTCTTACTTTTATTCAACAGGCTGGTACTCTGCAGAAATCTCTCTTCGATCTCATAAATCTTCTTTCAGCTGTAAAATCGAATTCGAAATATTATAATTAACGCACATTTGCATCTTGACTTGTATGTCAATTTCATAATTCCTTTGTTAAATATTCAAGCAATCGTGAAATAATTTCCAAGAATATCTCTATGAATCAATATGATGTTTACAGTTTAGACGCGAACATGTCTCAGATTTATCGCGGACATTCCAGACGATAATTGACGATCGAGATTACTAAATAATTATGTATCCAAGCTGAAAGCTGCATTTAAATTTAAAAATCATGACGGCATCGTTCTTATTTGATATCGACCGCGATAATACGACAATTCTAAGTGATACTATGATGCTCATTTTCTTTTATTCTAATATACGTACAACAGAGATAGCCACCACAGCCGTGACAGCCCTGATCACGTAGGATACTTTGTACGCAATATGACAAAGGATTCTTCGCTTTGTCAGACTTCTTGTATTTTCTCAATGGTTTCCCGGCAATGGTTGTCACTTCAGGCACAATAACACGCTTTGATTCCTCAATAACTCCAAAGGATTCCATTGTAAAATAACACGTTATATCAGCATACATTTTAACGATACATTTAAGCAGCCATTTTCAACGTAATTGTGCCTCATGGCTCATGGCATGGCTCGCCGTAGTCGCCGTCAGGTCAGTGCTGCCACGCTTCGGAGAAAAGAAGTCAGAACGGAGTGGGGTTGAAAGCAAAGTTATTTAAATATTTATCAGAAACATGAGTTAGTTTGCGTGATTCTATTAGAATTATCTTTTGAAAATATCATTAGTAGTAAATATCATTAGAAAGTATCATTAATAACAATAGTCATGATGCACGAAGAATTATTTCACGAAGTGAGTTTATAATATTTCGAAAAATCTACATCGTATTACGAAACAATGAATACTGCTGGACTACAGTATTTATTATTCGTTCAGTATTATTAATTAATGAAAAGTAGTTCCGTTTGAATAATTATTAGCGCAGATAAGCAATATTATTTTCATGTTAGACATGCAACATATACATATAGTTAATGAATTGATTCATGCTCTGACGAAACGCTTTACATTCCCGAGGTAATTTTTTTCTCGCGAAATCTGACGCAAACTTCCAACTAAATTAACTAATTTGAAAGCTTGTAATAGTCCGAGATTAAATCTATGGCATCATTTATTGAAAACCTTTCTTACCCTCGTTAATTATGTATGTTCAACGGCATTAAACTGTACGTTCGTAAGAATAACAAATTTATAATCGTAATTTATTTTACATTAAATGCGCACATAAAAATAATACAAGGTACATAATTTACTACCCCAAAAAAAAAACAGGAATTATTTATAAGTACTGCAACCCGATACCGAACTGGAACTGTTGTAGTACGTCTCTCTGGAGGAATAACAACGGCATAATTAAGTTTAATTCGACTCTAGCTATGTTCCCGAGTTTCATCGCGATACCTCCGCCAACCGCGCAACGAACGTTCTCCGTAAAAATTTTCATGTTTTCCTTGTAGTCATTCGCTGGAAAGAATAAAAAATATATATTAAATTATCCTATTAAAGCTACTTGTGAATTCGTCGACTCGCGCTAGTGAGCACTGAATGCGAACTTTCCCGGTGCCAAGCGTTCGATTGATGTTCTCTCTCCCAGTGCAGTGCAATTGTTGTACTCGGCTATATTGTAATTTCTACTCACATAACTTCTATTCACTAGTGTATTTTTCTACAATTTTAGATGTTATCTTGAAATTATAGGAGAATAAGCCAGTGAATAAAAATTAGGACATTTACCTTATTAGTATATAACTTTTGTACCGCATTCACCGAACAAAATTAGAATTGGTCGTACTGGTGCATTGAAGCTGCACCAGCATCGAGTCAGTGTGCATCTGCCGAATTCACTATTAATAAACGAAGGATATCGTACCAAATTTAAAGCTAAAATTCGTTACGTTTCCGCCGTTGATAAAGCCATGTAGCTTGAACAGATCACCGAACCCATTACGACCTGGTCTGAATGGCAGTGGTGTGTACAAATGAAGCGCGACCGCCCAATACGCATCGCCGCCCAAAGAAGTGCCCTCGTGGTGAGGCCCGCAGCCTCTCATATCGAACCCTCTGAGATTCAGTGGCCCGCCCAAGAAGAATCGATCAGCGATATTTATTTTCATGTCGTTAGTAATCCCGCGAAGTAATCCAGATTGGAAACCCAGCTGGAAGGTCTAACGAAATTTCTATAATCAGACAAATTGTAGATGAATCATTTAAAAGTGTGATTCGATTTCGAATCGAGAGATACTTGCAAGGCATTCGTGCGGAGTCCAATTGGTTTGCATCGTCAGCTCGTTTTTCACGAACCCCATATCTCCGCCGAGACCGGCCACTTCCGTCGAGAACTGTATCAGGCTTCCCATGGTGGGGAATATTAACGAGTCTCTTTTATCTATCGAACATATGTGTCGCAACGCGGACTTCAAATTTGGACCACATTGTTCCCGAACGAGAAATGATGCTTGCTTCGCGCAGATTATATCCCTGTACGTCGCTTCGTATTGTAAATTGTGCTTCAATATACCCGTCCCGTCCGGATTCAGCGCGAAGTCTAATAAGAAACCTTTGTCGCATTGATTAAAACCAGACCATGGAAATCTATTCGACGTGTTAAACACGCTGGCAGTTAATCTGCAAGGAATAAATCCTGTATTAAATTGCAATAAGTAATTGAGATGATCGAAGTAGCACAATCATCCGTACACTGTATGTAGCCAATTATCTACAAATGGTTTGACAGCAGATACACTTATGTTAGTCGAACTTTTTGAACCATAAGAATATTCCATCTGAAGCCGTTCTCCTCTTCCAAATAAATTAGGTGCTCTCGCTTGAACTATCACTGAACCTTCATTGTTTCCAACCATAGTACTAATTCCACCGGTTAGCCGCCTCATCTCGCGCACGGTAAAAGTCACCTGGAAAATAAATCGTTGCTTGAGGCTTTCTCATAAAAGTATCATACATTTATTTAAACAGGTAGCTTATGAACGAACTGAGCAGAATTAAATCTGAGAAATTACTTATTTTTGTTGTATTAGTGTGTAATTATATAGACCCACTTCAACGCCTTCTGGGGTGGCATGAGGACCTTGGCTGGTATCAATGAAAATTCCAACATTCCCAAAACATCCTAAACCTTGCAGCTTTTCTCTAACTTTGTAGGCACGCAATATAACATCGTAAAAGTCTTGTGCTTTAAAAAGCTCCGTTACTTGAGCTTTCACTATGTCATCCTTTGTCCTTATAAGCCCATCTACGTGTATCTTATCAACTCTTGCCTAGTTCATAAAGGAGTTAAATAGAATTTGATAAATGAAGCTTTCTTTCCTTATGTACATATTAAGAGCACGTACCCTTACTGAATGAAGATCAATGGGCTTTTCTTTTGTTTTCTCAAAAAAATTTGTCTTTTTATATGAAGACTGGAAACGACAATCAGTTTTACTGTAAATTTCTATATAACTTAAAAAAAAAAATGATATACTTACAGGATCATCCTTTTTTAAATTTTGTCTTTCATTAGTTTCGTTCGAAGTCTCATTAATATTTCTAAACATATTCGATTCCTGTAACAACAAACACGTGAAACGTATACGTGAAAATGATTTAACTGTACGCAAAATTGCAAGAATGTAATAAATGCACGATGACAACTCGTGAAATAAGAGTAGCGATGCGCGAACTAAATAGAATATATAATAAAACCGGTGAATTCTAAATAATAGCGGAATTATTATTAGAAATTATCTCATGATGCAAATGAACAGTGGTAATTTTAGGAGGTTATACTCTGATCTTCTAATAATAAGTGCTTACCTTTGCGTGAACAGTTCCCATTTCGTTTTACAAGAATAATTTTCGTATTTTCTTTTAAGCAGTCACATTAAAATATTCCGCTGAATTTAGCCCAGGCTTTGTTTTTTAACGCTTGACAAAAAAAGATAATGAAAATTTTTTTAAATCAAATGTTCGGAATGACTGAGTATGAGGAGTGCGGCATTTCCTAACAACACCGGTCGTACGATATCGCCCTCTGTAATAATTGTGACCCATCCGCAGTTATTCAAAGTTTATTTCAAAACTTTATTTCCATAAATTGTATACTCCATAACAATTGCATATAAATATATGTATAAAGGATAATGTATCATCAGTTCCATAAAAATATTACATACATACGTGTTCGCGTTGTATTTGTATTTTATATATGTATATGGCAGCTGAACAAGTGTTTAAAAATGTGTTTCTTATAAAAAGTAGAGAATAGTGTTTTGCATCCATTCTGGAGGTAGATTTGGACTGTACTGTGGTAAGACATGGCCGAATTAAAAATATAATTACGATTAATTAGTCCGCAAATTCTGTAAGTCGAGTTGAATAATAGACATATTACAATTATTAAAGGAACTTTAAAAAGAGGAAGACTTGATAACATTAGACTCTAAAGTATATAATACAATAACAATAGATGTATTAATTGAATAAATTAATTGCAATATCAGATATCGTCGTAAATATCATCGTAAAAGATAAGAAATACGAAATTTATGCTCAGATCTTTAACATAAGTTTGATATAAGTTATGCGAGAAACATATGTCCACATACTTTACAAGATAAGTATTATTTATAATGAGATTCCTCCTTTCCGCCCTGTTTAAATAATATTAGTCATGAAGAGTGACTACTGTACATACATACATGTCTCTCGTGCTTTCATCTCGCTATTAATATTAGGTTATAGATCTTGCAATTAATGTCAAGTAAATAGGCAGACGTAAACGTTAAGATCACACGATCAAACGTTAATCACAGTGATAACTCCAAACATTGAATTTTCATCCAGGATCATACTGCTGCGGAACCTACGCGTGAATGCGTGTTTGGTGACACAGGGCTCCCATGAACTTCTAAATCGAAATCGGTATTAGATAAACTGCTCCTCATCACTCTATTCCACCGATTCGCGTTTTCATTCAACGTTACAATGTGTCGATGCATCTCGTCGTCGGTGGATCTTTCGAAAGCTCGAAGCGCTTCTCGTTGAATAATAATTTCATTAGTGATGTACGCTTCGCGACGAATTTTATCTCGTAGCTTCGGATTCATGTCCGGGATGCACCAATGCACGAGTATCATCACGAGGGCGACGACGTTCTGAAGTAATTACGAATTTTTTAATCAACTATTGTTTTGTTGGAATTTAATAAGGCGGAAATATGTCGATACCTCGAATACGACGATGAAAGCCAGTCTTGCTGCGAGCACATGCCAAAACATAATTGAGTACTGATATTTATTTGGCGAATCAGGTGGTTCCCTGTAATCTGGGTATTTACATATGTCAACTCGTTCATCGGGTGGCACGATGAATGGTTCGGTACCATTCTTCAGATCACTTGTATTAAACTTGGAAAGAGAGTGATCTAAAAATCCTTCTAAGGAATAATTGTCGGACACGGCTAGTCGATACACTAATCTTGGTATAAAATTCGAAGTAAAAGCTATGATGAATGCCTGAAGAAAATTTGATTATAAGTTCACTGAAAACGGATAGGAATTTTTTCTAATTACTTACATTGGTTATAACGGAAAACTTGGAGATGGAATCGAGGATACGGTACCATATTCCTATATCTATCACACGTTGTCCTACTGGCCTCCTATACATTTTTAATAATTTTTTCGCATCTAATCGCATTTCGAAAACGTTATTCAACAGCGCGAAAAATGGCGCTAATGGAAATGCAGCGACAAATATAGTAACAAATCCATATTGCAGCACTGTAACAATATTAAAAGTTGTCAGGATCTAGCATATCAGTAACATTTATAAAATAGCAGAAAATGACGCGAAATCATGCAGATTGGAAAACTCTAACGAAAATGCGGCACGGCTTCCCGTTGACCAATTGCTTTGAAATTTGATACCAATCATTTGTTTGCCAAATGGCACAATTTAGGGGGCAGCAAACACAAACGTGATCCGTCTTTTGAAAAATAATTACCCATTTCTAAGTATTCGGGGAACAAACTTCTTGGGCCCCATTCGACTAGTTTATAATCTTTGATCCACTGGAGGTACTTCCGCGTATTGACTTTCTTGTGCCCGTCTTGATCCTTAGTCATCCCGACGTGAACTTTCAATGTGTTTAACCATTTGTAAAACAGAGGAAACAACATTTCTAGTATCGTGTTCATCGCTTGTTTGCCAATCATAATTATGCTCAGCTGTATGCACAATTCCATGAGGCAACCGCCTGGTCCGCATTCCTCTTGCCGATATTCGAAGAAACGTTTGTAATTGCCTGGGTAACCAACGAATTTCCCTTTAAAAAATGCTATGTAAAATATGGAAGCGTAGTAGTTAACAAATTCGAGCAGGTATATCTTTAATGTTAAGCTATCATCAAATTCAGTTTGAGTTCGAAGGAGTTCAACCTGCAAAAACAAAAATGCGTTACAGGGAAGAGAGAAAAGAGAATATTAAAAAAGTCATGTTATTACTGAAGTACCTCCGTCAGGTATTCGGCTAGCCAAACGTAAACCCAATTGAATATTATAATACAGCAGAGATTAATACTAGCTGCAGTGGCTGTTGTGAACAGTATTGCATAGCTTGTTATCATAGGATGTCCATAAACACTCAGGGCGGTTAAGACAGACATTCTATATAAAACTACACCTAGCACTGCAGCCATCGCTATTGCTATCTACGAAACCAATTACAGATAAGGAGATAGCTTCTTGCAGGAAGAATTTCTACATCTAAATATCAATTAATACCAGAAGCAAGACTACAGAGAAACTGAGAATCGTCGCGGGTACTCTCATCTTCCAAAATGGAACTTTCGGCTCTTCCGTGTTCGTGATAATATTGAGCGATTTCTTTTTTATGTGCGCCAAACGCGCTAAGTACTGGGGTCGAGGGTGTTCCTCTTGAGCATCTAAACCAGTCAAGTCCCATTTGTGAGTTATCTCTGCCGAGTAGCGTTTCCACAATTCCAAGAACAAAGTAGCTGAAATCAAAATCGAATGTTAAACACATATCTCTTAAATCTTCACAGCATTCGTGAATGATACATACCCCATAAGGACATAAATATAGAGAAGAACACGGTAGATGGATTATCGAATAGATATGTGATCCTTGCGTGTAAACAGGTTTGTTTCAAGTCCCAATATCCGCAGAAGTGATCGCACAAGGGACACATTTTTATGGTACCGTTACGATTACAGATATCTTCGCTTGGCTCATTGGAATATAAAGTCGCGCAACTGTATATGAAGCACAGAAGGCCGACGATGCTAGCGGGTATCAACATGTGCGTATAGAATCCGAGCCAAGCAAAATAGAGCCCGATCTTTACTCCGAAATACTCCTTGATGTAATCTAACGGTTGATAGTGAAGACATTTGCTTAAACTTGCCCATTCCTTATAAAGAATATACCTCATGGACTCCGGTGCTTTTAAATCTCCCTAAAAAATTAAAGGGAAAGGACATTTAACACATTCCCACATGAACTGAACGCACTTTGGGAAAAGATATATAACTTACATCGTGAAGCGGATACGCGGCCACGTACGCTTTTTCTGATATCAATCTATCTATTCCGAATGCAAAATCGTCAGCTTTACTTTCGGAGAATCTCGTTCTATCAAGAATAAATTGTACAATTCTGGCACGTGTCGCAGCAGTAAAGAAGTTCGGCGAGTCCAAATCGAATAAGTATTCCTTATCGCGGCTATAAACGGCCGTGAAATTGTGTTTCAATATCGGAAATATCGTTTGATCCACGTAATATTTGTTCATAATTCTTTTGAATAGAGTGTTCACTTCTTCAATCAATGTATTGCTACGATTGTCAGAAATCTTGATGCCTGGTAATTCTTTCATTGGTAATCGAAGTTTCAATATTTCCGCATAGCGTCTTAGCACTTCTCGGGGCGCGTGTATCTTTATGAAATGCAAACCATTCGGTTCTGATGGTTCGTATTCCAAATTCAAACCTTCTTTCTCCAAATTCTTCTCAAATACCTAAAGATGATAGGATATACGTAGAAGAGTGAATATCGGTCAGTTTTGTAAGTATACTTACACGTCTGAATTCGCTGCAGCGGAACGTCTGTGCTTCTGTATTGTATTCGTCCCAAACGAGTACAAAATCAATTGTACGAATTTCATCTCGAAAGTACAAACTGAACGCAGTTCCACCTTTTGAAACCTTTTTAGAGGAAAACATTCAATCACGATTCCAGTATAACTTTTATAATAGTTCATAAATGCTTACCGATCTGGAGCCGCTTCTACTGTTCCTCAAATCTGTACAGCTACCGTCGAGATACGTTTCATTGGTATCATTGTTAAGACTCGACAGATCTTCGCTACGTGATTGTCGAACATCTTTCATGGACATTCCACTGTGTACGCTGTTTAAGCTGTTCATGCTTCCAGCATCATTCAGTAAAATATTGGGCACACTCTGATATAATGTTTGTGCGGATCCTATATTTAAACCACTTTGTATAGACCGGTACAGGCTCGTCGCTGAGCTATTAGTTCTAGATTTTTGTCTCCATGGTACAGAAACTTCATCATCCTCTTCCATTTTTAATTGTACCAATCAGTACTCAAACCCTACTTATTCCAATCAAAGAACGTGTACTACATGCAAGCCAAATGAACAAAAATTTATTTAAAATAAAAACGATACTACGACGAAACAAGGACAGTATAAAAAATAAATGCGGACGCAGATAAGTATGTAAATCAAAACGTTGCTTGCACAATTATTAAAAGCACAGTAAATGGGAAAAATTTATACAAAGTGGCATACACTACTTCGGTTCTAGACTATAAATAACAATCGCCGCGGCAAACAAATTCCAACGAAATAAAATGATACAGCAAAAACATCTTATCGTTAATTTTCGCTCGAAGCTAATCATTGGCTTTGATTACTTTTTTTGTGTGGAAGGCAATGACGGACAGGTTAAATATAAAAATGTTCTTACACGATTTTTTATGATGTCTTCATCGAGAATGCTTAATTCCGGATGTTGTGCGGAAATTAACACATAACTAAACTGATATGTAATTCCATCGTACGTGTCCTTTTATCTCTGACACTCTGTGTATTATATATATTGTATTCTCGAATTTATTCATTCAATTAATGTTTCTTTTGCAAAGATCGCGTTCTACAACCGTACGTACGTAAATTCGTTTCATCGCATTAAATTAGATAAATATAAAACGAACACAAATAAAGATGAGAGATAAAGATGTAACATGCTTTTGTGAGTCATATTGGTCATATTTATTATACGCATGCACACAATGTAGGCAGTGTAATGAACACAATAATGCGTGCTAGGCGGTCACGCGGCCGATATAAATGAACACACGACATACTTGTTAGATACTTTAATCGTTTTATGATAGCCGTGTAGATTTATTACAATCTATTTTATAAAAATGTTCTTCGGTTTGATCATATAAATTCCTGCAGGTCAATAACATATATATTATATAAGAAATTTTATCTTACAACTGTTAATTGTTCTAGGCGTGAATTTATATAAATACATAACATTGTTCATACATCGTATAAAGTTTCTTATCATATACATTCACTATAATACAAATCATATTTCCTGCATGACTAAGGAATTAAGTTCGTCTTCCCCTGGACATAATACAGAATCAATATTGTAGAATGCTGCGTGTAAAGTTATCAAAAAACAAGATGCACCTGAAACAAAGAATTGTGTTGAAATCTAGTATTAGTACTAGATGATAGATAGATATTAAGGATGTATTGGCTATACCCAAAAGTTTGGCTAATCCCAAAAGTTTATGCACTTTAGAAACGCATTTTTTAAAAAGAAATCAGACGTCGGAAGAATAATGCTAATAATAAATAGCTACGTGCTAAAAAGTATAGAAAGAAATATCCAATTAATAGGAAATGCGTTTATTTAAGGTACATAAACTTTTGGGATTGACTGTATAGCCAATACATCCTTAATGTCGCTTACCGAGAACCCAGAAAAGAGCTGCACCAGCACCAACTAAATAAAAGATTGGTAAGGAACAGATGCCGACTAAACTGTAAACTTGAGCCAATGTCAGTTTGTGATTAAATATCATGAGCTCTTGTCTGGCATTTAGCTGAGAAACTTTATAGCAAATTCCTAAAGATACGCCAACGGTGAGCAACAGCAGGGGCGAAGTGACCCTAAATGTTAGACGATTATCTTTAACTGAGTATTATATTGTAAGAAGAAATAAATTTATTAGGAAATCTTACAAGCAGTAGATAACTAATCCAATGAACACGAATAGGTAATTGCTTTGGAAATATTCAATATTTTTCATGATCCTTTTAGTCAGTCTTGGTAAGCTAGGTGGAGGCCTTATGTTACTTGTATTAAGAAATAAAGACCAGGGCCTGACGTTGGCCTTTCTGTGTTCGATCCATTCCTGAGCTTGTGGATATCCTATATTGTTAAGTGGAAGCTGTGGTATTTGCAGAAATTCTAGCCTAGATAACAAATACGTATGGATTCAGAATTCATCTATGTATTGGATGATATGTTTACAATCAAATCTGTCGAAGACTATCAACAGGATGTCAGTGTCAACGTGACATTCTTTCTATGCTTTAATTAACAATTGTTTGATATCCTGTACTCAATGATTACCCAGATGTGACAGATTTTTGTTTCTGCGCCGGAATTTGCATATCGCCCGCTTCTTCCGTGACCTCGATTTGCACGGCTGTCATTCTCGTTTTCTCCGAACCTCGAACCTTTCGGAAATGATCACGTTTGACAAAAAGACAACTATCTCCACTGTGTTTTACTCTGTTCCTTCTTTACGTGGAGCCTTGCATCCCCACCTCGTTTTAGAAAATACTCGTCGTAGGCACTAAATTCCCATCATATCACGCATCGAACTACTATGTAACCCCTACTACCAGCGATACAGTCACACCAACACATGTGTCGGAACGCGTGCATGTGCATACAAACGCTACAGGTTGCAGCTGCTCGATAAAAATTCTTTCACCGCTGGCTGGACTTCTTTCAAGAAAACAGCTCTTTGTCTGAGTTGGATAAAGGACGCGAAAGATTTTCCTTTTTTTACGTGAGTTTTCGAAGTTTTCATTTTAACATACGATGCAGAAAAAATATTTACTGGTTGCATCTAGGTAATACGTTCACGCAGCATGCTAACTTTCGTTTACTAATAATTAATTTTCAAGCTTCTTAACTTTTCGCTTTCTTCTTTGTTGGGGAAATCGGATTACGTATTGGTTTGTCTAGATCTCTCCCGAAACGATTTCAAAGAGGAAGTGAAACACGATCGCGTTTATAACAAATGCTCATGTTTGTTTAATAGTATTCTAACGAAATCGAAACTTTGTACGATGTTTTATGTAAACATTCGTAGTTCCATAAACATTTATATTTTGTTATCTCGTCACATGTTTGGGACCCATTTATCAACTTTATTTTATGTATGCTCCAGTACGATATTTAATAAATTTAGAACATGTGATCTTTGCCGTACGGTCATATGATAGAATTCCCGAACGGTGAATGAGATTACCGAGGCAGAGGTGAAAGTTGCCTCAGTATTCGTTAATCGTCGCCTATTTTAAGCGTCCTTACTAAACTTTCGGAGTAAGCATACTTAACAAAGTGTGACAGAAAGTTTTTAGAATTCTCCTCGAGAAATGGTCTCACCCTCCTCGAAAATGTGTGCAGATGACGCTATCATTGTGTGTGATCGTGGCCAATACGAGGACACGTTATTTCGAACTGAACAGCATTTTGCTTTTAAAGAGGCCTGTGATTCGTCGAAGTTGATTTCCCGAGGAGACTCGGTGCCACCCGCCATAACGAACGTAGCGTGGTAAGCCCGATTGTTTGAATCAACGTTGATCAACGTGTTTAGACTTCAGCCGGCGAAGTTCACCAATTAATATTTGTTGCCGTTTAGCGTAAACTGTGCATGAGTGACAGTTGCATGAGAGGAGACTTATGCCGACGGTTTGAAGATATGGAGGTCGCGCAAAAGCTGCATTTCGACGCATGCGACATTCAGGACGAGGAGCTGAACATCAGCTGTCGGACGAACAGCTCCGGCTGCGATGTTGATGATATTTTAGACTCATCCGGGGAAGATCTGGGATGTTCACCCACGCTGCAGCCGAGGAAATTGTTCGCAAACATGATGGACTGTAGTGACAGTGACAATAATCAATCTATGCTGATTAATAATAATAAGACGCCCATGGGCAACTTTACAGGTTAGTCGGATTCCTCAGTCTTTTTACGCTCTTTCAAGCAGTTTTACGAGTGCAACATATTGTTAAGGGTAACCATCGTTGTGATACACGTTTCAATTGCACACACTTTTACGTGGACAGCTTTAAATTTGTCTTCAAGCTGATCGCGATTTCTATCGATACTATGTGCTGCGTTTTCAGTTGTACGGCGCTTTCTGTCTTCAACCTGGTTTTTGTATTAATTTTCATCGCGTTCAAGCCGAATTGCTACCTCTGTTTGTTTTGATTATATCATTGAATGGGTGCGCTTATTAAAAACTGCTAATGCGTTGCTTTTTTATTTGTAAACATGTTTGCTTCGTGGATTTTGTGTGCTTATGCATGGTGTGGAAGAATTGACATTGCTTTTGGACAATTAATTTACATCATGCACACAAGTATTAATATAGAATAGTAATAAATCTACGATTAATGTACGTATGATTATATTAGAAGAGTGTATCATTCTGATGTCGCATAATGGACATTTTGTATATATTATGTATTTTGTAAA